GTGGATTGGGATCTATGGTCTAAGAGAACCTTTAGGAAAACTTACTTTAGAAATAAGGCATACCCCCAGGGAATGAGGTCTACTATGGCATTGAGCAGAAAAGGGCACTTTGTACCTTGGGATTAAGACTGGAGAAAAAGGAGTTTTAATATATACCTGCCATACTCCCCTCTGTTAGCATAAAGAAGCTAAGTGGTGTTTAAAAATAAAAACAATAGCACATCATACATTCCAGGCACATCCCCAAGAACTTCACAATGTTCTCATGTGCTGCTCACAACAATCCTATGAGACAGATACTGACTTCACTCTACAGATGAACAAGAACAACAAGGCAGGGAGTTCATTGGCCAAGGCACCCAACTCCATAAGGGATCGAGCTGGTTGCACAGCCCAAGCTGTCAACCATTGCTGTGCCGCCTGGAAAGCGCTGCCTTAAGAGACCAAGGACAGGCAGGATTGTCAGGAGACAAGACAAAGCACCCTGGGTCAGTGTAATTGGTTTTAGTAAAAACAAATCACAGGTCAGGGTCCTAAGGAAGCATGACAGCAAATGTAATGTGGTATCCTGGATGGAATCCTGGAACAGAAAGGGAACATTAGGTGACAACTAAATAAATATGAATAAAGTATGGGCTTTGGTTGATGATCATATATTGATAGGTAATTAGCTCATCAGTTCTGACAAATGTACCATCCTAATGTGAGATATTAATCTTTTAAGCCTGCCTTTTGGAGAATGATTAACACTATGAAAAGTATCTGATTCCTAAAGGAGATAGGAGAGAGGTTCATATTTAGTCTGAGTTTGCATCAGTTTAAGGATGTTGATGTTGAACATGACCAGAGAAAGGAAACTATCAACTGGCGTAAAGTGTCCAAATACAGATACTTTATACTAGGAGGGAATATTATACATGCTATTTATTCTGCTGAGACTTCTCTATAGCCCTTTCTCCTTTGTTCATAAAGATTCAAACATGCACCCAGACATGCACACGTACACACAAAACCATCTATTAACGGTTTATGTTAATTGAGATAACTACTCAAGGCATGCTTGCTATGTACTAAGCTCTGTGCCTTATCTCAGCTCAGTCCTCTTAATCCTGCAGAAGAGGTCCACCATTCCCCTCCTATAGGATCGTATGGAAAGTGTTGAAGCCAGGTTTGACATGAGGCAGTCTGACTACGCAGGCAATTCACAGCAAGCCCACTCTTAACCTGCTATGCCAAACCACGCCTTGGTCCTAAGTGAATGCCAACCCAATCAAGAAACAGGTGGACAATTTAATGAATTTAAAAGATCGCATCCTTCACGGAGGACAAAGAAAGTAACTGCCAAATTAGCATGGCAAGTCGCGATTTAAGATAGCAGGTATGCAGGAAACTGAGCATGTTCCAAATAAGCTCAGATTTAGGAGCACAGGAAGATGATTATTTTAATTTCTAAAGCAAATATCAGTACTCTGGGAGGCCAAGGCGAGAAGATCACTTGAGGCCAGGAGTTTGAGAACAGCCTGGGCAACACAGCGAGAACTTGTCTCTACAAAAGTAAATTAAAAACTGGCCAGACATGGTGGTGCATCCCTGTAGTCCTAGGTACTTAGGAGGCTGAGGTGGGAGGATTGTTGAGCCCAGGAATTTGAGGTCACAGTACACTGTGATCATGCCACTGCACTCCAGTCTTTATCAGCAGCATGAAAATACACTAATACAGGTCCATAGTCAAGTCCTGGTTTCCCCAGTGATTAGCAATGAGAACATGGGCATGTAACCTAGTCTCTGTGCACTTCTTTAGTGAAACCAAAATTTCTCTGCACCTCTGGGGTGGCAATCACCCACATACATGACCTATTGCATAACCTTCCATGGGGTGGCACACTATGTTATGTTGGATTTTGAGAGCATTTAAATAAATATGCTTCTCATACATGAAGTATGAAGTCTTCCAGCTATGTTTAGTGGTATAATTTTCATTCAGAGGCCAAAAACAATCTTTGTACCAGCGCTTATATCCAGGAAGGAGTCCTTTGTTTCTTTCCCCTAAGTCAACCTTCAAGATGATTGTATAGAAGTCATGCACCAAGTTAGAATTTAAAATTTAAAGGCAGGAGAAATCACCTGAATCACTGTGTATTTAGTTTTTACATTAATAGGATGTCAACGTAAGTGATCACTTTCTTTTAAGAAACCAAGATGTCCTTCATGTAAAAGTTGGGGCCAGACGTGGTGTCTCACATCTGTAATCCCAGCACTTTGGGAGGCTGAGGTGGGCCTCCCACTTGAGGTCAGGAGTTCAAGACCCAGTCTGGCCAACACCGTAAAACCCTGTTTCTACTAAAAACACACACAAAAAAATTAGCCAGTCATGGTGGTGGGCACCTGTAATCCCAGCTACTCGGGAGGCTGAGGCAGAATTCGCTTGAACCTGGGAGGCAGAGTTTGCAATGAGCTGAGATCACGCCAGTGCACTCCAGCCTAGGTGACAGTGAGACACCATCTCAAAAAAAAAAAGTTGGAATCGGGGCAGGTGCGGTGGCTCATGCCTGTAATCCTAGAACTTTGGGAGGCTGAGGCAGGTGGATCACTTGAGCTCATGAGTTCAAGACAGGGCAACATGGCAAAGCCTCGTCTCTACTAAAAATACAGTTAGGTTGGGTGCAGTGGCTCAAACCTATAATCCCAGCACTTTGGGAGGCTGAGGCAGGCAGATTTCGAGGTCAAGAAATTGAGACCATCCTAGGCAAAATGGTGAAACCCTGTCTCAACTAAAAATACAAAAAAATTAGCTGGGCTCGGTGGCATGCACCTGTGGTCCCAGCCACCTGGGAGGCTAAGGCAGGAGAATCGCTTGAACCTGGGAGGTGAAGATTGTAGTGAGCTGAGATCGGGCCACTGCACTCCAGCCTGGCAACACAGTGAGACTCAAGAAAAAAAAAATTAGCTGGGCATAGTGGCATGCACCTATAGTCCCAGCTACTTGCGGGGGTTGAAGTGGGAGAATCACTTGAGCCCAGGAGTTGGAGGCTGCAGTGAGCCAAGACTGCATCACTGCACTCCAATGCGGGGTGAGGGGTGGGGTGACAGAGTGAGATCCTGTTGCAAAAAAAAAAAATGGTGGAATCAGGAGTATCACCACCGTAATCAGGGATAAGATAACTGAGTAAGTCAGCTGAGACCCAAGTTACCTGGATTCCTGGCCCCAGAGAGGGTAGAGCCCTCCTGTGCGGATCACAGTAAAGGCAGGAAGCATCGGGTTTCTTCCCGGCTTCCCTCACTTTGTGTAACTGGAAGTGAACTGTTAAATTCAAGAGTCCATGGTTGAGAACAGACACTCTCATTTAATCTTTAATGAAAGCCTATAAATTACATATAAGTGTATCCTTATCTATAAAATAAGGGCATGTTGATCTATAAAGTAAGGTTTAACACCAAATGCCAAAGACAAAAAAATTTCTAGGCAGTAAGGAATTGCTAAGAGAAACAAAAAATGTTACACTGATTGGGGTGTGTCAAAGCAACATAGGAGCCAACTGACAGAGCTCCCCACAACTAAAGCTGGAACAATGTGGGCAACAAGTAGTACTGGATTGTAACATAAATCCAAAGTGTGAGTTCATACTAACAAAAATGGTTAAATAAGAAAAAAGACAAATCTCCCTTCCAAATGAATTCCAAATAATTCATATAGATACTTGGTCCTCAAGGAGACGGAACATATACCTCTGCCCCTTACGTGTGGACTCTGCATGGTGACTTCCAATGAGTACAGCATGGAAAAGGCAGGGGGAGTGAGTTTACAGTGAAGTCTTTCAAACACCTCAGCCAGATAACAGAGGTCAGAACCAGTGATAAATTACGCTTATGTACTCTTTAGGATATAATGAAAACAGCACTTTGCCTCTGTGGTCATCCTCCCCAAAACTTATAACTCTAATCAGAAAAAGCATTAGATAAATCCCAATAGAGGGGGACCTTACAAAATACTTGATGGTACTCCTCAAATTTGTCAAGGTCCTCAAAGAACGAAAGAAGTCTGAGAAACTGACACTGCCCAAAGCAGCCTGGTAAGACACCGCAACTAAGGTAATGTGGGATCCTGGATGGGATCCTGAAACAGAAAAAGGGTATTAGGTAAACAGCCAGATCTAAACAAGCTATGGACTTAATAGCAATGTATCAATAGGTTAATAATGGTGATGGTTAATACTGAGTGTCTTGATTGGACTGAAGGATGCAAAGTATTGTTTCTGAGAGTGTCTGTAAGGGAAATGCTAAAGGAGATTAACACTCGAGTCAGTGGACTGGAAAGGCAGACACACCCTCAATCCGGGGGAGACACCATCTAATCAGCAGCCAGTGCAGCCAGAATAAAAGCAGGCAGAAGAACATGGTAAGACTAGACTGTCTGAGTCTTCCGGCCTCCATCTTTCTCCTGTGCTGGATGCTTCCTCCCCTCCAACATCAGACTCCAGCTTTGGGACTCTCGGACCTTTCACTACAGAATGAAGGCTACAAGTGTTGGTTTCCCTGCTTTTGAGGTTTTGAGACTCAGACTGGCTTCCTTGATCCTCAGCTTGCAGAGAGCCTACTGTGGGACTTCACCTTGTGATTGTGTGAGTCAATATTTCTTAATAAACCCCCCTACATACACATCTATTAGTTCTGTCCCTCTAGAGAACCCTGAATAATAATAATAAAAGAAACTGGGTATGGGGTTAATGAGATGTCTACAATGTCTTCAATATTTTTTAAGTCTAAAATTGTTCCACAAAATTTGCCTATTTAAAAATTTTAAAAAATTAGTTTCTATAGGTATACACAGGGAATATAAATGCAAAAAATCCAGACACACACCAAACCAGTATGTTTATGGTAATTTTCTTAGCAGCACTGTATGGAGTTACTGATAATGGAAGACAGTCATATATTACTACCAAAATAATCTGGTACATTAGGGGGAGGGTAAAAGAAAATTAGAACCAGTTGTGGCTATCTCTGATCAGCAGAAAAGTTTTATTCCTTTTGAGGACAATTAAACCACATCCAAGGTCTTAACTTACAAACATAAACCAAAGTAGCCATTGAAAGCATTAGATATTGGGTACAAGACATACACTGGGGAGAATGCTTCGCCATCTGAAGCTCACACCACACTGGCCCAGTGGACAGCTGTGCACTCTGCTCGTGCTTGGGTGTGGCTGAGGGGAAGGCATGTCTGCAGGATGGAAGGAGGACAGCTGTGTTTCACAAGTACTAAAGCATTTTAGACTGCATGGGGAGGTATATATTTTCACGTTGAAGGGAAGAGGGGGAAAACAGCAAAGTCCCTCCCACAAAGCATTAGGCTGCCTTGCAGAGAGCCACGGCAGAGAAGCGGACCTCTCCTTGCTCACGCTCGGTGAATTCTCTGCAGACCTTGGCAGCATCCTAGAAAGGAGAAATGTCATTAACATCCAAACAGCAAGAGCTCAAAATGAAAGTCACATAGGGAAAAGGAACTCCAAGGTCTATTAATGCTCAAAGTTCACCCTCATCAACTTTAATTCCATCATTAATTTGAAAACCAGACTTAAAGCAAAAAATCAGGTGATGGGAAGACAGGGTCACATCATGAATTTACTTCTTTCTCACTTCCACAAATGGTTTGCTTCTCTCACCTTGTACCTGGTTTTGGAAAAGTTAAAAAAAAAAAAAAAAACTATTCATGTTATTTTCCTCAAATATGAAGATTGGAAATTTATCTTTCCTCCATAAGATGGCATGAGAGAGAAGCTGTAACTCAGAAATTTCCCAAGAGTGAAGACAATTGTCTTCTAAGAAACATTTTAAAAAACAGCCTTAAAATTTACCTGGTATTCCAGGTACAGACAAGCAATGGAACTGTAGAGATTTATGAAGTGACATGTGTTACTAAAATATAGATGACAAAGACTTGTAAGAGAAAATTAATCCCAGTGCTACTGAATTATAGGATATAATAGTTTTGGGATCAAAAATATCAACTACTCTGTTCACTCTGTAAATATGCCCAATGGAAAGATAGCTCTGTAAACCATAATACAAGACCTTGAAGGAAAAAGGGAATACTCTATGATACATAACAGTAATGAAACATCACCCCTAAAATTTAGAAATCACCAACTTAATGAGTTCAGACCAGACACGGCTCCAGCCTGCAATCGCAGCACTTCGGGAGGCTGAGGCAGGGAATGGCTTGAGCTCAGGAGTTTAGACCAGGCTGGTCTCAAACATCTTTACTACAAATTTTAAAATTAGCTGGACATGGTGGTGTGCACTTATAGTCCTGGCTGCTCAGACAACTGAGGTGGGAGAATTGCTTGAGCAAGGAGTTCAAGGCTATAGCAAGCCACGATTGCACTACTGCACTCCAGCCTGAGAAACAGGAGACCCTTTCTCCAAAAAAAAAAAAACCTATCTGGATTGACATCAGTATTTTATCCTCTACCAGGTTTTTTAATATATCGATATTCCAGACCTGTCTTCCCTGAATTGACTTTTAAGACATACAATATTGATTTCACTATTAAAGGTGTACCTTTAAGGAGAATAACCATCTTCTACAGAGCTACCGTGCAGAGACCTAATTCATTCAAGTTTAGGATATTTGGGTTAAGTGCATGTATCTTCTTACCAGTTCAATAATTTAGTGCAAAGTTTAGGCAACCTAAAACATCTTTAACATATAGAACCAGCCTTACTTAGGGTAAGAATTTTAACTAAAATGCTGGTTTACTTTAGAAACTCTCTTAATTTTAAATGAAATTCTAATTAGAATAGTTAAAAAAAGTTTTGGCTGGGTCCTGTGGCTCATGCCTATAATCGCAGCACTCTCAGAGGCCAAGGCAGGAAAATCACTTGAGCCCAAGAGTTAAAGACCAGCCTGGGCAACACAGTGAGTCCCTCCCCACCTCATCTCCATAAAAAAAAAAAATTAAAAACATTTGACCTTCCCCACACCTTATAAATTCTACTTGTATAACACTTGTAAGTGTTCTAATGTGGAGCACATTTTTATATTAATGCAGTGCTAGATGAGTTAGCATGTACCTTAAAAGCTTTACTAGAAGGACCAGGATCTTTCTTCCAAATGAATCAAAGACCAGAAATTCTGCCTCTGTTTTCTTATTCTCACCAAGCAAATTCTGACTCTCTCATGCAACCCCTCCATACCATCCTACCTCTCCAGGTTTATTCTTCATTCCATATTACTATTCCCACATACCTCTTGAATACCAAGAATTAGCTTTAACTGATCTCAGGTGTGTCTGACAGCTGAGAGAACTCAACGCTCCCTATTACAGTGGCATAATGTGGTCCACTAGCATCTTGGGGCTGGCAGGTCTGTGAGTTTCCAAAGAGAGGTCTTTTCTAAAGAAAGGTTGTATTGGTATTATACAGTGGCTAAGAGCACAGACTCTAGATGCAGGCTAACTTTTATTTTGCTTTTCTTTCTTCTGAGTCTTGCTCTGTTGCCCCGATTGGAATATAGTGGTGAGATCTCAGCTCACTGCAACCTCCACCTTCCCAAGTTAAAGTGATTCTTGTACCTAAGCCTCCTGAGCAGCTGGGACTGCAGGTACACACCACTATGCCAGGCTAATTTTTGTATTTTTAGTAGAGACGGGGTTTCACCATTTTGCCCAGGCTGGTCTTGAACTCCTGAGCTCAAGCAATCCTCCCGCCTTGGCCTCCCAAAGCGCTGGGATTGTAGGTGTGAGCCACTGCACCTAGCCAGACCATCTAGGTTTGAACCATAGTTTGCCATGTAAGTCACTGATCTCAGGCCTTAAACTCCTTGCACCTGGGTTTTCTTGGCTCTGAAATGGGGATAATACCTACCTCATTGTGTCATTAAAAGATTTCTACAAAAGATATATATCACCTAGAAGAGCACCTAGGTACAGGGAAGGGGTCAGAAAACTGCAGCCTGTGGGCCCAACCCAGCCTGTGCTGGTGGAGAACAGCTACATACATTCATTTAGAGAGTTACTATGGGCTGCTGAGCCATATGCCATGCAAGGACTAAAATATTCTGTTTGGTTCTTTATAAAAATGCTTGCTGAGTCCTGGTCTGCACGCAGCAAGTTCTTCAAAGATCTGATACTATTACTACTACAAATGAAATATAGGTATATCTTAACAGCATTTTGTATATTTTTTTCTTCAAGCACAGCAAGCTAGGAACAGCATTTTTGTATTGTATCATAATTAAGCAATTTTCCTTTACAATAGCAAACTGATTCAACTCTAGAGACTCATTTTCGGGTGAAGAGGCCTAGAATAGTACACCAACCTTTGGCTAGAATCAGGTTTCTGTCCAGGATGGTTATAGAGTGATCCTGGATGTTAACAGTTTTTGTCAGGTGCATTTTAAATCTGCTTCTCTTGTTCTTGTAACCATAAACCATGTGGGAAGGAAAAACTCCTAACTTTAACCACCTAACTAGAATCTATAGTACACTACTTCCAAGACTGACCCAAATCCCGCCGTCTTAGAGGGATTATGAAAGCCTGCTGTTCCGTGAGCCTTTGGCTATGATGTAATCTGCCACGAGGACAATGGTCACCTTAATCCCACCAGGAAGCAAAGCAACAGCTTTCAGGCTAATTCTAACTGTGAACTAAAGACAGCACATGAAACAGATTACTCAGGGCTTCTATGAAGCCCTGTCTAAAACCACTTGCAATAAAATAAGGTAGATAGAATTACTAAGATGATCTTTTAGCCCTAAAGACTGCTATTAACCCAGACAATTGATGCTGGCTGTCCTGGAAGATTGTTAGCACTTTCGAATAGAAAATTTGGCCAAAGAAATGTGGGGCCCATTAGGAAGAGATGCATTCCAAAGATGACCTGCAGCAGGGTGTCCTCTGAACTGGTGCCATGGTTCACCGGAAAAGGCATTCGTCCATCTGTAACAAAGAAGCCAGGCATGTCAGTTTTCTCTGCATGTGTTTTGGCTACCATGCTTACCCAGCCAAGAGTTTTAGATTCATCCAAAAACCCCACTGCCAAACCCATAAAAGGAAGCCTGGTTATGAAGCAACAGGCTGCAAATAAGGTTCAAGTGTTCCTAGACATCCATCCCAAGCAATTCTAATCTACAATTAACAGGATCACACAAGCTCAAGTCAGCTACCACAATAGAGGAGCCTGTGCCCCCAACTCTTGCAAAGGGCCACAGAGCCAAAATCAGATGCAGTCTCTGGGGTACAGGAAAGGTGGAGGCAAGAAAAGGAGACACCTGAGATTTCATCTGCCCTCCAATGATTGTAGATTGCCCTCACTATTCCTTTGCCTTTGTAAACCTGTAGGTGGTACCTTGGCTTAAGACAACGCAGTTGCAAGTGTTTCTCCATTAATACAAAAGGATGAATCATACAAGGTGGGTCATCTTTCTTGATGCCATAAATCAGTTAACAGAAATTACTCCAGGCTGGGCGCGGTGGCTCAAGCCTGTAATCCCAGCACTTTGGGAGGCCGAGGTGGGTGGATCACGAGGTCAAGAGATCGAGACCATCCTGGTCAACATGGTGAAACCCCGTCTCTACTAAAAATACAATAATTAGCTGGGCATGGTGGCACGTGCCTGTAATCCCAGCTACTCGGGAGGCTGAGGCAGGAGAATTGCCTGAACCCAGGAGGCGGAGGTTGCAGTGAGCCGAGACTGCGCCATTGCACTCCAACCTGGGTAACAAGACCGAAACTCTGTCTCAAAATAAATAAATAAATAAATAAAAAATAAATTACTCCAACATATCCGATTCTTTTTAAACAAGTAAGGTCATATTCAGGCACTGATCCTTTTTCAGAGAATTCTTTGCCCAGAAAGGACACTAGGGGATGCTACAGATGAGAAAATCTGATCACATATACCTTGACCTGGCACTGATCTGATCTATTCTCTTCAACAGTTTCTGACTAAAGCCACTGATCAGGTATTACAGCCACTGATTAGGTCAGTTGCCTGAGGAAGTTGCTCTGGGGCTAATAAGGGGTTAAGTGCCCTCATGAGAATACTTTTTTATTGTGGCTTTATAAACAATGATATGCCAAGGGCCATAAAGTCACACAACAATGTATCAAGAGAAATTCAGTCTGAAAGAATGCATGAAACTACATTGGGTTCCAAAAATGGAGTGAAACATACCAAGTTCATAGAGGTGGCCATCCACGTTGTTAAACAGAATAAAATGGAAATTCACTTTGTCATCTACCTAAAGAAAGTCAAGAAATTGTTTTGAAAATGAGTGTAAGCTGAGTTATTTAAAACATTATCTTGCAATTGAAGCAAAATACACTTGGACTTGCTTTTATTTTTAAAAATTGTAACTAATATTTATGTATGTCCTATATTAGGCCTTATTCTAAGCTCATTAGGAAATACACTGTAACTCTCAGACAACTCTATGAGGATACTACAACAGGCTTTTTACTGAGGAGAAAATTGAGGCTTAGAGAGGATAAGTATATTTCAACCAAGGTCAAGACTAGAAAATGGTACAACCAGCTGTAGTTATAAAGACACAGATCTGGCTGGGCATGGTGGCTCATGCCTGTAATCCCAGCACTTTGAGAGGCCAAGGCAGGCAGATCATTTGAGCTCAAAGAGTTCAGGACCAGCCTGGACAACACGGTGAAATGCCATCTCTACAAAAAATACAACAATTAGCAGGTGTGGTGGTGTGCACTTGTAATCCCAGCTACTCGGGAGGCTGAGGTGGGAGAATCGCTGCTGTGAGCCAATATTGCACCACTGTACTCCAGCCCGGGCAGTAGAGCCTGACCTTGTCAAAAATATAAAAGATTAAAAAAATAAAAAGGATACTGAGATCTGACTTAAATTTAGCAGTTGACTCAGAGGCTCTGATCAGATTATGGTATATTCAAGCCTTCTAGAAATTGTCCTATGTGGTGTATTTCATTCTCCCCAAGAGCCTATGATATTATTTGAAATGCTTAGTATGTAGGAGAGGTGTACACTCTCTTAAGACTTATTTGGGGTTTTTTTTTTTTTGAGACAGGGTCACCCAGGCTGAAGTGCAGCAGCACAATCTCAGCTCACTGCAACCTCTGCTTCCAGGGCTCAAGCAATTCTCCCACCTCAGCCTCCTGAGTAGGTGGGACTACAGATGTGTGCCACCACACCTGGCTACATTTACCACGTTGGCCAGGCTGGTCCCAAACTCCTGGGCGTAACTGATTCGCCCTCCTCAGCCTCAAAGATTGTTGGGATTACAGGCAGGAGCCACTATCCCTGGCCTATAAGATTCATTTGGATCTAAACAAAATATTGTCAATTTTAATTTACTCAAGATTATTTCAATGACTAATACAATTTCTGAAGAGGCTTTTATATGAACAGGTCTAGTCAAAGCATTATTTGGGTAAAACTTCTGGTGTCATTTGGCCTTGGGTGGGTAACATTTGCTATGTTCCAGTAAGAGATTCCTGCACAATTTGAGTGGAAACACAGATGGCACCCAGGCAGCCTGGCTCCGATTTGTATCTGCATTTACCCGACATTGGCCTTCCTGTGCCACGGCATCATGGGCTGCCTGTATGGCCTGTGGAAAAAAGAAGATAATTACCACAAAAATCTCTAGAGTTATTTAAAGGCAATGCTCTGAAAGTTCTCTTACCTCATTCTTTTCAAAGCATTTTGCTCTGTCTTCGGGGGACATTTTCTCTGTTTCAGAAAGAAACTGTTTCAGGACTGATCCATCCTCTTCAAAAACAACAACAAAAAATCCATGTGTTAGTATAGATAAAATAGTACAAATGGGTACATATTTATTATTGACTTAAGCCTTTGCTGATCATGTTGAGCTACCTGAATCTTTAATACTGCCTAACATCTATCACATACATGAAGCTATTACCATGTTCTAATCTAAAATGGTTCCCAAACCAAGATTATTATTTCGGGGTAGAAAATTCAACCTCAGTTATTAAGACAGAAAATAAACATCTTGAATAGAAATGTGAAGAAACAGTCCAGCATAGAGACATCTGACTGGCTAACTACTGGCATAAGCATTTTGTTACTGCTCAGTGTGGATAAGCCCAAGAGACATTAATTACAAAGTGACAGCAAGAACAACTTATATTTCAAAAGACCTCAATTTAAACTTTCAGCTCTAAACTTAAATTTGTTAAATGGGATCATTTCAAAATTTGGAAGTGCCAGGAATCCTTTCTGAGAAGGATTATGAGTCAGATTAAGCGTTTGACACCATTGTTATAAAATGGTTTCAAAAGGTACAGCATCTCTGACCTTGGGAACACATCTGTTTCTGAACTACATGTTTCAAGTTCAAGCACAGGATGACTGGCCTCAAAACCCACACCTACCAAATCCCAGTTTATCTTGATTATTGGCCACTGCGTGTATAAGTCCAATTGTGCCACAGGAGTTCCCAATGGTCTGCTTCATGAAATATACTTTAGGACTAACTTCTTGTCCCTTCAGCTCTTCAATCTGTTTTTTCCTGAAGTTCTCATGCTGTAAATGTAAAAAGCATTTTGACATCTCAGAATGAAAATGCAAAGAACAGATGGCTGCACAGTGAGTTCCACCACCTAAATGGAAACACCAGTGGGATGTGTGACCGGGAGCCTTGGTTCTAGATGCTGGCTGACTCCCAGAGAAGAGCCCGTCTGTCTGCCTCCCACACCCACGTCAGCCAGTGGGGCTCTGAGAGATTCGGAGACTCCGCCCCAGTGCTGCAGTGCAGTGACTGCATTGGGTACTCCCCAAGGCTGTCTAGCCACCACTGCAACCTTTCAGCCCGAAACAGTGTCATCAAGTCTGAAAACAAAGAAACTGGTTCATTATTTTCTAACACTTAACAACTGTATTTCGCACAGGCATCCTAATCAAGTTTCAGTCAACTGAATACCCAACAAGAGCACCAACTGGTTTACATTTCACTATTCTTTAAAGTTCTACTTCTATTTGGCCGAAGCATACTTCGCTTCAAAAACAAAAACAAGCCTTAACTGTTGAAAAGAGCAAGTGAAAGACGTTAACTATTCCCTCTCCCTTTTTTTTAAGGAAGGAAAGACAACTGGTCCAGGGTATTGGGCTGTGATTTTACAAGAGGAAGATGTGACACTAGCTTGTTCTTGCCAGCTAAACAGTTTACTTTGAGAACAGATTGGCAATTTGAGGAGGAGGAGGACAGAAATTGGTAAATGAATGGGACTAGGAAATGGATTTCCTCAAAGCATCTGCTGGCTTTTTGTACAGTTATTTAGTGAGCTTGTCTGGACTTTTCACTAACTAGTTTTAAAAACCTTAGAAGTTATGACTTCTTGAGCCAGGATCAGTGGCTTGTACCTATAATCCCAGCTACTAGGGAAGCTGAGGCAGGAGGATCACTTGAGCTCAGGAGTTTGAGACTTTGTCTCTAAAAAAATAAAAATAAACAAATTAGGACTTCTCAGTTAAAAAGCAGGGTGCTAACGCTAAACAAACACTGACTTCCCATAACAAGCAAAACCAGACAGACCATCAGAAACATATTTCCAGTTCTAGTAGCTTTGCATTACCGCACACAAACTGAAGTTTACGCCTGCTCGCTGATACTAACAGAAAAATAAGATCTCTTACCCCAGAAGAGCAACTTAAACTCCCACTGGCAGAACTTTTTCCCTTCTATCCTCAATTTAGTATTCACTGACCAGTAAGAGTTTTTTTATTTTTTTCATTTTCTAGGCTAATTAGATGAAATGTTAAAATGGGGCAGGAGAATTGCTTGAACCTGGGAGGTAGAGGTTGCAGTGAGCCACAATCATACAACTGCACTCCAGCCCTGCCAGAGTTAAGACTTCGTTTCAAAAAGAAAAAAAAAATACTGCCTCCAGGCATCCTTTAAGACTGCTTGAGCTCTTCCATGGAAATCATTTTGTAAATAGTTTACTAGCACTTAACGTTTCAGAAGTGGTCCACGTAGGATGTCATAACATTCTCTTAGTCAAAAATTAAATGCCTTCCAAATTAGTATCTTTAGGAGTCAACCTATAAAACCTCAACTTTTCTTTAAATTGGCTTCACTGTTTTGTCCAGTAGCCATGCTGTGTAGCAGAATAGGCATTCGATAAATCAGATGGGTTGAATTGAAGCTAAAGGACAAAGTATCGAGCTCTTTCAAACAGCACAAACTAGAATGTTCTCTAACAAGATCCTGCAAAAGGCGAACAGTCAGCTTTTAAAGGCAAACGAGCTGCAGCACTGCCTCCCAGAGGCCTTGCCTCCAAATGCTGCTCAAAACCTCCGAGTCATCATGGTTGCTCTAATAAAAAAGCTCTGTGCTATGCTAAACTCGAGACAGGAGACTGTTTTGGTTAACCAGGAAGCTAATTTGACTTCCAACGGTTTGACAGCTCCCTTTTCGCCCAAGTAAAAAAAGACTTCAGCAATAAAAATATGTTTGTGAGATCATCTTAGCTGTAATATGTGTTTTTACCCATAATACTTAGCTCATTTACTAGGAGGAAGGCTTGGAACGTCCCATAGGACTTGATTATGGCTGGCGATGCTTCTAGAACATTTAGCCTCGGGACCGTGCTTCAGTTAACCTCACTCTTTAGAGTGATGCTCAAGTTTTGCTAAAGCTAATTTCAGCCACTCCCACATCAGCGGTCAAGTGACAGCAATAGAAGATAGACAATGCCATGCTAATTACTGGGATTCCACAAATCACAAGACAGCAAATATTCCACCTATACTTTAAAAAAAACATCTGACGCTGTCTTTGAGATACATCTATCCATGTACACGTGTAGGAGGAAAACCATTTAAAGAGAAATGAAGAGGTGCTTTCAAAAATGAGCTAATCATGCACTATTTCATTTCGCTACAAGGTCAGACTGAAGAGGAAGGAGGTTCCCGCACAGAAACCATACACAAATGATTAAGCTTTAAGAAATATATTCAGGAGGCTAAACCCAAATATGCAAGTGGTGGGAGTTAAGAGGTGAGAAGAAACCCCTAAGACCATCAGAAACCCAGGCAATGGAGGCGGAGAATTGGCGAACCTAAATCGCTTCCCTGCGATTTAGGCCAGCCCTTCCCCCTCCGGTTTACAGCTAGGTGGGAGCCTGAGAAGCAAACAATGAGTTGACAGGTTACAGTCCTTAAAGGGAACCAGAGGCCATTCCCCGGAACTGGAGGCTCGAAAAAGCCCAAGTTCGAGGGAACTCAGGAGTAGGATGACTTATTTCCCTGGATAACAGGAACGATGGAACTGAGATGCTGCCTCGCTTCCAAATTTAAGGCAATTGTGAACGTATGGATGAGAAGGCAATAAGCACCGCTGGAACAGGAGCCCAGGGAATAGGCACCACGAAAATGCAGGCTCCTCCCTTCCTCGGTGGCGGGCCCCGCATCACCTACAGGGAAAGGGGCGGGGAGGGGTAGCCCCCGCCGCCTCAAGCTGGGGAGCGGCGTGCACCGCCCGGGGCCAGCGCGACCCGGGGCCCACGCCCTACCTGGGCCGTGAGGGGAAACAGCAGCAGCAGCGCGCAGGCAGGCGCTGGCACCGAGCCCAGAGACTCCTCCTCCAGCCCCAGCACGTCCACGAAGCGCCACTGACCGGCGACCCCCAGGCGGGACAGCACCTGCAGAGAGGAGACAAGACAGCCAGGCGCAAGGGGACACGCGGGTCGCGGGCACCTAACAGGGGGCAGGGGGCGGGGCCAGCAGGCGCGCGCCCTCCGCGCCCACACCCGAGCCTAGGAGGAGCCCCAGTCCTGCCCTGCTACTCCCACCCGGGCCGGCGCAATGACACAGCACAAAGCGCGGCCCACACGTGGCGCCCGCGAAGCCCGTGCATCTTAGTCCGTGCTGCCCGCGCCACGCCCTCAAGAGCTCCGCCCCGCGCTCGCTCGCCACCGGGCGCAGCCCCTCCATCTCCCCGAGACCGGTTTCGCAGTCACCCCTCTAAATGCAGGGGCGCGGGGAGGGCGCCCGGCCCACGCCCCAGCCAGGCCGCCTCCAGCGCGCTCAGCGGGCGGCTAATTCCCTGCCAGCACCAGGAGCCGGTGGGCGCCCCCGCCATGGCGTTCCCGCGGGAGGGGGCCAGAGACGGCGCGAGACACCACTCACTTTGTTCAGCATCTGAAAGGCAAATGCAAAGAAAAAAGCAAAACCAAACCAGTCAGCGACTCGGCTCCCTCACCGTCGGCCTCGCGCTCTCTGGGCAGCGGTGCACCTGGTGCTCACCTCAGGGTTGATCTCCATCGGCTTGAGCTGCATCTTCGCGGAACGCCAGTCAGTAGCAACCAGGAGAAGACGAAAAACAGCTAGCGGAGCCGCCCAGGTCGCCGCTTTAAAGCGCCGGCCAGACGCACTGTGAGGCCTGCGCAGGGGGAGCAGGGGCAGAACCAAGCGAGGGGGAAACGGCCGATCGCGGCCAGATGGGTACAAACCCCCCCGTGCGCAGCGCGTAGTGGCACGACCGGGCCCCCAAACCTCGCAGTCTCTCTCGCCGGTGAGATAATCTGGTGGTTGTGGAGACGGGATTTGTTGGTGGGTGTTCCTTGAGTGTATGGAGCAGTCCTTTTGACGGAGTCTTTAATTTGGGGCGAAGTTTCTGGAAACCCAGCCTTTCTACCATCCCAATAACTCTAAAGCTCGGGTTTCTGAAGCATTTAAGAAAAAGCACAAATTCAACAGGTATATATTTAATATGAATGTAAATGTATGATCCCCCCCCAAAAAAAATAGCAGTTTTGCATTTAACCTTAGACAATTTCTCTTTCCTGTTAAATCAAACCGATACCGAGGTTCTTTTTTAAGTGACTGCCTAGAATAAAACAGAATCTGGTAGATAACAGCTATTGCAGTAGGAATGCTGATGTAATGTGACTCCCGGGGAAGACATGGTTGGTCCTGGGAAAGAAGTAGAAAGCTGGGGGATGTGAGGGTAAGGCAAGACACAGAGAAAGAAGGCAGGCGGTCGGAGACTTTAGAAAACAGATCCAGGGAAAAGATGGGTGTGCTTTTGAGCGAGAGACTGTAAAAGGAAAAGCATTTTTAAAAGAAAGGGAAGCTTTGAAAAATAAAATTTCTGAGTTCACCGCAGAATACTCCCAATGAAGAAGAAAAGAAATGGCAACCAAAGAAACCGCTGTTCTCTAGTGATCTCAGGTTGGGGTTTTCCCACCAACACATTCAAAAGATGGAGAGAGAAAGCATGTGCTGAAGAAGGAATTCTAAAAGGGACCAAAATATGTAAGAATTGTGTCAGGAAAGCTAAGTTGCAGAGTAAAGTGGGCTTGCAGGAATACTTGGGTAGTGAAGGAAGCAAGATGGTTGAGTTTTTGTTTTGTTTTGGTTTGGTTTTTTTGAGACGAAACCTCACTCTGTCACCCAAGCTGGAGTGCAGTGGCGCGATCTCGGCTCACTGCAACCTCCGAAAAGTTGAGTATTAAAAAAACAAAACAAACAAACAAAAAAACCTCCGAACGAAATAATGATGATGGTGAAAGAACAGACCTTCCACTCAGGAAATTGAGGTTAACAGATGATAGAGGAAAGGGAGGGAATCAACATTTTTTGAGTTATTGTTTCTGGGGATCCTTTGCATGTGCTGTCTCATTTAAACCTTATAGGAGCCCATGAAGAAATCCATATTAGTGCAGTTCTACAGATCAGAATCCCAGGCTTAGAGAAGTTAATTTGCTTAAGATCATAATTGAAAAGTAAAATTGAGAAGTAAACCCTGCTAAACTGGGCTGTAAGGGTGCATCCTTTATCTAAGATTCCAAAACATTCTATTTTCTTTCCATTTTGCCATTAGCAAATACCCTTCACACGTAAAATGAGAGAGAGAAAAACATTAGTAAGAAGAGCTTAATGGGTGAACCTAGTGGTATGTGAATTTTCCCTCAATAAGGTTGTTAAAGAAAAAAAGAGGTGAAGGTCAAGACAGGTGAATAGGTTATATTGAACGAGTTCTTGCCTTTAGACAAAGACAAATTACATTTCCAACTTACTTCATTTATTCATTCACTCAACAAATATTGATTAAGAACCTACTATGTACTGGGTGCAGAGCTTGAAAAGTTTGGAATCAGGGATACAAAGGTGAACAGGATAAACATGGAAATTTCCCTCATGCAGTTTTTATCAATCATAAGAGTTGTATAAAAGGGAGCAGAGATCAGGAGCACCTAACCTCCTGATGGAGGGGATCAAGGAGGCGTCCTGAAGGAAGTGACATTTAAGCTAAGGGCTGATGGGCAAGCAGAAGTTAGCAGTTATAAGTGATTGCCAAAATAACTAATAAAAGCAGTCATGAAATCAGTATCAGAAATATTTGTTGAAGGCACTAATTCATTCTAGTTCATTCACTTAACATATCTATCTACCTACCTACGGCTTACCGTGTGCCAGGAAGCATCAGAGCAGTGAATAAAACAACCCCCTACTTACAAAGAGATGCAGAGACTGGATATGAACAAACCTGAGCCTGATCTTTAAAAAAAAAAAAAAAAAAAAAAAAAGTAGGAGGTAATTGGGAATGTACTGCCAAATTGCAGGCCAGAAGAGTTTATATCAGTTGTCAGCCAAATGTTAGGACTCATGATGTTTTACTTTTAGAAGCAATAAGATAGATACATTTAGAACAAGTTATGCCAGCCAGAACTTATCTTCTTTTCTTTGGGAGTTACTAACTGGATGGACAGGTAGAAAGAACACTGTCATTGTATTTCTTATGCTGCCAGGGTTGGCATTGGTTGATGCCACAGTTGAGGTGGTTTTATAGCTTATTTAATTGTTTCTACCTTAAAAAAAAGTGATAGTAGATGGAGTTACCTCAACCTGTAGCCACGTGACAATGGTTTTAACCTTGTCTGGTGCCATTTTATTACAGCAGAGAAAAAGAGAGTTCACACATACAAGTAAGAATAAGCAATCTAAGTGGCAGAATTGTTAGCCAGGTGTGGTGGTGTGTACCTGTAGTCCCAGCTACTTGAGAGGCCGAAGTGGGAGGATTGCTTGAACCCAGGAGTTTGAGGCTACAGCGAGTAGTGATGGCATGACTGCACTCCAGCCTGGGCAATAGAGTGAGACTCCATCTCTTAAAATTAATCAATTAATTAATAATAAATGGCAGAATTTGGAGATTAAAAATAAATTTAAAATAAAATAATGAAATTTAATAGGGAATTAAGTGATGATTACACAACCCTTTAAATATACTAAATAATTTCAAATGGTTTCATGTATCACAATAAAGCTATTAAAAATAAACAGGAATATGTGTAAACTATATTATAGTACAGCTGTCAGTTATCGTAATATAGTTAATGTTTATATTAACTTTTTTCTTGACATGATTGCAAAAGTATGATATAATGTGGAAAAATATCAAGTGAAAACGAAGTTACAATAGTTTGATTATAACCATTTAAAAAGAAATACACAGAGATCAGAAGGAAAAACATTTTTAAAAAAATCATTTAAAGATACATTAATGTTAGACCTGGCTTTGTGAGCAGTACGTGAGAAAAAGATTCAAATATTTCAGGTGTCATAATTTGACTACAAAGTTAGTGCAACCTTCATTTACACCAGGAGTGAGAGATTCAATTTCATTTTAATCATAGTAGGTTCCTGAGTCCAGCGGGGGTGAAAATGCTGTGATTAATTAGTGATATCTGCCGTAAGTATAGGAAAGGGAAGTAGTAAGGATAACCAGATATTTGCTAATCTTTGGCTAGATTAATATAGTATTCAAAATCTAATCTGCACTCTTGACCACTGTACTATATTATACCAGGGGTCCCCAAGCCTCATGGAATTGACCAGACTATAACCAGATTATGATGCCCAGCCTGGCATATAATGAACATTCAATAAATACTTTTCAACTGAAAATTCTAACCATCACGCTTAGACATATTAGACAGTTTACATAGAGCAAGCGCCAAAATAATGAATAAAGGTGGTTGAAGAAATTGAGAAGACAGTATATGATGTGGAGAAGAGAAAGGGTTTGTGTGTGTGTTTGGGGGACAGGGAGGGGAGTTACATGATACTAATGCTCAAAAATACAAAGGGAGACTGGGCATAGTGGCTCATTCCTGTAATCTCAGCACTTTGGGAGGCTGAGGCAGGTGGATCACAAGGTTAGGCATTTGAGACCAACCTGACCAACATGGTGAAACCCTGTCTCTACTAAAAATACAAAATTTAGCCAAACGTGGTGGCGCATCTATAATCCCAGCTACTCAGGAGGCTGAGGCAGGAGAATCTCTTGAACCCAGGAGGCAGAGGTTGCAGTGAGCTGAGATTGTGCCAGTGCACTCCAGCCTGGGCAACAGAGCAAGACTCTGTCTCAAAAAAAGAAAAAATACTAAGAGGGAGAGAGTAATCTTTATGATTATTTAAGGATACAGGACAGACAGGTAGAAGTCATAGGAAAATACTCATTTATATAAGAAAGCGCTTAATAATTGGAGTGGCTCAACATTTATGTAAATTCTTCACATGTAATGGTGAGCATGCTTTTAACAGCATAATCATAGCTAACACTTACTGATTGCTTATGGGTTCCAGGCACTACTTCTATGTGTTTTGTATATATATTCATTCTTTTAATCAACATAACAACCTATCAGGTAGTTAACTATTATTATTCTCATTTAGAAATGAGGATCAGAGAGGTTAAGTTCTTTGCCTATGGCTATTTAAATCATGAGAACTGAAATTTGACCACAGACAATCTGCACTCTTGACCACTGTACTATATTATAACAGGGGTCCCCAAGCCTCCAGCTAAGGACTGGTACAGTTCTGTGACCCATTAGGAACTGGGTGGACAGCAAGAGGTGAGCAGGCCAGGCACGGTGGCTCACACCTGTAATCCCAGCATTTTGGGAGGCTGAGGCAGGCGATCACCAGGTCAGGAGATCGAGACCATCCTGGCCAACATGGTGAAACCTTTGTCTCTACTAAAATACAAAAATTAGCCAGGCATGGTGGTGCGCACCTGTAGTCCCAGCTACTTAGGAGGCTGAGGCAGGAGAAACTCTTGAACCCAGGAGGAGAGGAGGTTGTGATGAACTGAGATTACACCATTCCACTCCAGCCTGGTGACAGAGTGAGACTCCATCTCAAAAAAAAAAAAAAAAAAAGTGACTGGTGAATGAGCAAGCATTACTACCTAGCTCTGCCTCCTGTCAGATCAGCAGCAGTATTAGATTCTCACAGGAGCATAACCCCTGTTAGGAACTGCACATGTGAGGGATCTAGGTTGTGCACTTCTTAACAGAATCTAATACCCAATGGTCTGAGGTGGAATAGTTTGATCCTGAAACCATTCCCACCCCGAAGTCCATGGAAGAATTGTCTTCCATGAAACTGGTCCATG